GTTAACGAAATGTTTGTTAAGTAAACCATTTTGAAACAAAATTGATAATTTATAGATCATTTTGAAAGAAAAAAATTATTTTTAGAATAAACTGAAATAAATTACATAATTAATAAATTACATAGTTAATAAATTATTTATTGAATTTAGTTTTCTTTTTAAGTAAAGGACTGGTATTGAAAATTAAAGTTTAGAAATAATTTTAGTTTTTTTAAGTTAAAAAGATAATTTTAGTACAAATCTAAAAATTGAGGAACCAAATTAATATTTTAACCAAATGTTGAATCTTGGGTTGGGGCTTGGTTCGGGCATAAATAAGTTTTGACGGCAAGACTGAGAAAAAAAAAAATAAAAGAAAAGAAAAAGGAAAACCAAGTTTTGGTACAAATTAAGGGTCTTTTTTAAAATCTATATATCATCTTTTCAAGTTTAGTTCAAATAAAAATAAATATCATGTAATGTTATCTCATAATCATTCTCTATTAACAAGTTAGACCTATGATATTGTATAATTTAACAATATATAAAAATTATAAAATGAATTGTTTGCATATGCATTATTACTCTTTTTTTAATTAAGGGGGATTTAGGATTGGCTGTTCACTTTCAAATTTTTATGATATATTTGAAAGCTGCATTCTTATTATATATATATATATAAATTAAATAGCTACAGGTAACCAAACCTGAATAGAAGGTGTATATATACTAGTAAGATATATTCAAGTGTGAAATTTGTTTTCTTCCAACTTGAATCTTACCTCCACCAGAATTGGAAGGACAGAAGTTATGGGTTTCTTTAGCTACTCCTTTTCCTTTCTGCAAGTTCCTTCCTTTCTGGTTAATTGACCATAATTTTAATCATCACCCACTTTGTTACATCACAAAAAGGAGAAACGGAAAAAGTTCGAAGGAGATGATCTTTAATCATGCATTACTCATAGATTGTGGGTTCCACGCATAAACAAGATCTTTGATTTTGATATATCAAATGATAATGGATCTCTGTAGTAGTACCATCTAGGTTAAGACCAAGGGCCTCTCCACTTTTCAGCACTTAGGATTAGAATTAGGTAGCTGCCCATGTAATATACAGAAAAAGTTGGCTTTTACATGTGTTGGGGGATTCAAACTCCAAAACTTTGTTTAGGGTAATATTAATATTATAAATTGTGCTATTATATTAGCCGATCCAAATAAAACTTAGAAATGGGTAAACATGATATGTTCATCAAATATCATTACATTGTTCTTGTATATTATACACGTACTTTGAATATGCACAAGTTATATAGATAATGACTTAGGTTAAATTGCAATAAAATAATTTTTAGATATTAATTTATATGAAAATAATAAAATGATAATATTAACATCAACACTCACAATATATAAATTATTTTAATTGAATAATTGATGAAATTAATATTAATTTTTTTATCAATGAATAATAAGAATATAAAATAAATACACTATTAATTTACATTCTCACACACAAAAATTAGAAAAATTCATATACATAATGCGTTTGTTATATCGATTTTATTTATTAAATGAGCTTGCTAACCCTACGGCTTGGCATTCAGTTAACATCTTATCCTTTAGAGTACTGTACTGTAAGGCCACATCCAATTTATTTATCAAATGTGTTTTAGAAGTTCATAATACAGGTAAAATTTGTACCGTTATTTTACATTAATTAATATTTTAAAAATAAAAATTAATAATTAATTAATTAAAATAATTCACATTATTACATTGGCAATAACATTTTTTTTTTGATAATTTAACTAATAAAAACATTAAAATATATAA